CACCTCGACGCCCTCGAGGTGCCGATCGAGGGTCACGATAACGCCTGATAGATCCCCGTACTTTGTCCTGACGATCCTTGAGCTTAGCTCGGCGCTGGCGGTCGCCAGAATTAGGCCGAGCAGCGCCAGGATCGACGACGTCATCTTCGTTCGCGCCCTTGAAACCCCGTCTCCACGCCTGCTTCCTTTCGCGATCACTCGAATCCGATCAAAGATTTCATTTCCCCCTTTGAACACTTCTACCCGCCCCCAGAGGCTGGAACGCGCGCGATCGTGCCCACCTCGTCGCCACGAGGACCTGGTGCGCGTCCAGGATGCATCAGTAGACGATCGGCCTCGAAACGAGCTTCACAATATTCCAAAATGACTGCCCGAAGGGTCCGTTTCAACGCGATGACGCTCGAATTCTCGTACGAATACATTTACGTCATCTTTATAATTCTAGAGATACCGTTGGATGTTATTATCGGCGAGAGTTGAACGAGTTTGCTATGTAAACCAAGTTCCTTTTTACGTTCAAAACAATGTTTATCCACCTTTCTTGGAAAACTCACTGATTACCTTCCTGCGAGTAGTCAACATGCGGACGTAGACATTTCCCAAGCGACCGTTATGAAACATAAATATTGCGCAGTATGCTTCTCTGTTTGTTATTTTTCGTACGATGTTTTCGATGAACATATTATATTCCGATTTTTTCGATGTAAAAATATGATTGGATCAAGTTTGAAGAGGTGAAATTGATCGTTTTGAAAAAGCCCAAGGAATGGTTGGAATCATTTTGAAAATATCGTCGAAGTTACAAAAAAACGATCTCGTTTCTGATAGCATGTTTAATATGGCGGTACAAATAAAAAGCGCCCGCCCTAATGATGCCCAAGAGAAAGCCATGGCTCCGATGTTTACCGGTTCGCTTCATCCTTACGACCCGGCTCGTCGGAGCGGATAGAGAAAAGAAGGCACCGGATGCCGTCGAATTACGTCCACCGTTTTACCACTGTTTTTTATTTTCTTTTTCTTTTTTACTCTTTGGACGAACCAAAGCTTTTCAAATTTTCTTCTTCCGTTATTACGCGGACATTTCTTTATTGCTTCTCGTATATACAACGTTTCCAGAAAATTGCGTAGATACGTTTCGAGAGAATTTCGAATAAAATGAAACGTTATTATTCCAGAGAATCAGTATCTAATACGAACGTATCGATAATCCGAGGAATTTCGACGAGCCACCATCTAAAGACAGGAACTCCGATCGATCATTCGAGACCGACAAAAAATCCACATCGAATCACTGTTACACTGCGTGTCGCTCGATTATATCCTACTCAACGAACTAACAACGATAGGTGACTTCATACACTGTTCAGCTTATGCTCACGTTAATGAATCAGTTCAAAGTAAAATCACGAAGGCTATAGAAAAAAATGCCTTTCCTTCTTTCCAATGACTAATTACAGGAGAATTATATCGCACAGATACACGTAACCCTCTTAATCTGGGCAGAATTGGCCTCGGAACGACACACGCGACAACACTGGACCGAGAACACTTTTTTCATGCACTTCACACTTTCCCGACTGATGCAGCGATTCCTTTATCACGTGGTGGCCGCGTAATGCGATCCAATCCACAGATAGATCGTGAGGATCACGCATTAGAAGGAAAAGGATACGAGATGCGAACGCGGACCGTGCTGGACCAGAGGAACCGATCTTTCCGTTACTTGAATCTCGGACAGACTGGCGTCAGGCGACGCTGCTCGTATGGAGGTGCGCATGCTCCGCGCATACGCTGCCCACACTGCTCGGAATATGGGCGGAAATCAGCGAATGCGTCGATATAGAAGGGAATACCAGTATCAACTTGAGTATTTCGGTTCGTGTCTCGATTTTAGTACGTATGCCTAGACTATAGACTGACTTAACCTATTGCATCTATCTGAAACGTTACGCGCGAAAAGCGTTACACAATTAGGACAATTAGCTGAGTGGTTTCTGTTCCGTTATTGTGGTCTGTTACTGTGATCAAAGTGATAATACAGTGTATCATGGAAGGAATATAATTCTAATGTTCAAGAAATATGCAAGAAACTTCAATAAAAGGTTGGTAAAAATAATTATATGTTTTTATTTTGATTCTCGTTGTTATAAATTATAACCTTTATCTTATGGTTCATTAAGTATAATTGATTAAACTTGTGTTTGATTTTATACTGCATCGAAATTATAACCAATATTTATATTGAAATAATCCTTTTGATAAGTCCAACTATGAATCCACGTTCAGACAGAATTTGATATTTCGTTATATGCTTTATATGTTCTATATGCTAATCATAGGTATTGTAATCTCAGCATTACATAGCTTGGAAACCATGTATAGGTTAATCTCTCTTTTGCTAAATAAAAACAATAAATAAAAATTTGTTACTAGAATTTTTCTGATTTTTTTTTATTTTTTTTTTGTTTTTTCGTAACTCAGTTTACTTGTATATGTTTCTCTGCTTCTCGCTTCAGCGTAAAAATTATTAAATTCGAAATAAAAGCAAGATCAATTTTGTCATAAATATGCCGTTAAATAGATGTTTAAAGCAATGTAACAATTTCTCTTTAACAAGGTAACATACAACATGTATCGACATCAGACCACTTACTGCTTTCATCTCTATCTAATAATAGATCCGTACATATGCTTCCAAAATGCAACATTCGATATTGATGCTATGAGGCAGTATAAATTCATACCGATATTCTCATATTCCATATCTATTATTATCAAATTAAAACCTGAAACATTTTTCGAAAAGAAAGTATCGAATAGATAAATGTTGAAATTTTTATTACTTCGATAAATATCTTTATTTTTCTTTTTTTTTTTTTTTTT